TCACTGAATTTTGTGGGAAGCACAGAAACACAGGGATGGTTAAATTCGTAGAAGCAGTTCTTCAGGTTAGAATGAATATGTCGTGTATGTAGCTGGCGTCAGGTGGGGAGTTCGTCGTATTTGCAGTTAATGGAACGAGTGGGCGAGATATACCGTCGAGAGAAAGAATGGAATAATTGCCATCAAACCGCGTATGGAAATGCCGTGCCATCATCAGCCTGACATGCTTCGGCTTTTGGACAACCCCGTAACGGACGTCGCATTTAAGGTGATTGGGCTTGGATGTGCGTTTCTTTAAGCAGCGAGATTCATCGGGTAACCGAGGAAACAAGGTAAAACGAAGCCGACATGGAATCACAGGGTTTTTTGGTCCGTTTGATGATCCTGTTATTGTAGATCATAGGCCAGGCGGAGTGGATAACAGCCAACCAGGTCGTCCAAAACCGGACACTGTCGAAGTTCAAAGCTTAGGAAAATGAGGGGATGAAATGAGATTAGTAAGGCATGGTGAGTTTTAGGAGATATCAAATGGGATCATGCGCATTGATGCACAGAAAGAAAAACTTGACGCCCACCGTGATTAGAGTGATGACGAGTGATTATATGGAACAAGATATAGGTGGATTTGTACTCGGTAGACTAGCGAACAAGGGTTGGGTTTGCTTACATACGATCTTAAAGTATAAGGGATCTAGTAAGAGCCGATATAAGCGCGTAGAGCGGTGGTGTGGTTGTGGAAATCATCTGTATAAGGGCAGACGGGTGTGAACCTGAGATCACTGGCGGATCTGATATTTATTACGCGAGTTGGACAGTACCAAGAGAGAAACTAAGTTTAAGAAAAATAGTCACCAGTCCCGAAACACCGCTCTCAGCTTTGAGTTAACAAGTGGTGCATGGCGGTCAAGTCTTTCGTGTACACTCCTAGGAGCAGCAGATAAATGTTCCACGTTTGTTTGACGAAATGGGCGGGCTTGTGGTGTAGCCCCTCTTCTGACGAAGGCAAATACAGCTATGCTCGTCGATGTGGGCCATGGGGATCGCAGAGTATATTAAGGCTATCCCAGGTATGTTTTTATTTTTATTTTTATTTTTGACAGACGGGAGGCCAGTGTTCTCATCTGTGGTTTAGGAAGTTGCCATTTACAGATCCAAGTCAGGTACCACAAGATTATTGGGTCTGCGATATTGTATCTCTGCATTGCTACTGTAATTAGTGATCGCAACAAGTTCTTGCTGCTGGTTGATTTGTTGCGCATGGAATTTACTACTCTCAGCGCACTCTGCCAACCTCTTTTACTTTTCTAATCCGCTTCCATTCCGCTCTATTTGTGGCTGACCTCTGACTGCGATACAATGTTGCTTGTCAACATTCGTCGTCACCATCAGCTTCGAGAACCGCATAATTGTCGTACGGTAGTTGGAGCTGCCACGGGTTTTTTCACCAATAATTTGAGAAGGTGCGGTAAACAGCTGAGCATTGGAAGTGGTGTCTGATATTATTATTATGATTATTATTGCTATTATTATTATTACTTGAGGACGGAGTTGTTACAGGATTTGTAATCGCGGAGTTTGGGGGAGCTACGAGTTGTAGGCAATGAAGATTTCATGGAGGCGCTGGGTCCACGTGAAGAGTTTGTTTGTTGTTGCAGGAAAAGAGGAAGAGTAAGCGATAGGGCCCAGTCAAAGGTGGGAGGAAAAGTAGTTGCGGGCATGCTATCAAACTATAAGGAGGCGCTGATGCCTGCTCGTGGCTTCTGATTTGAACTTGTCCCGGATGTGACAGTTACCTGGCAAGTCATGAAATATAGGCAAAGGAAAACTGTATTTTCTTCTCTTTTTCCGAAAACGCATGAATTAGCATGGTCTTACATTGACCCTTGTTGCTTTTTAACCCTCGTGCTGAAAGGCTTCAACCATACGAAGTCTACCTCTACATTTAAATACAACTCAACGCGGCCCTTCTCTTTCTCTGGGGGTAGTCACAGACAGATAAGGTATAAACAGTTTACCATTCTTTGATGCTGGCATTCACAAATGGCGCATATAAGCTTTTTTAGCCTTAAGCTGGCTTCAATGTTTTGTCTAACTGGAACACATACTCGTACTCGGTTCACGCAGCGAATTTCAGAGAAATCAAGACCCTTGTTAGTTACAACAGGTGTCCTTCATCAATTATTTCTTTCTTGTCTGCAGTCCTTCTTTAAATTAACCACCAATTTCACA